TAAGAAAGCTTCAAGATAAGGTGGGGGAGTAAGGACAGGATGATGTTGCATCTTAGGTACACAGGTTAATAGTATAACAAAGCTTCAAGATAAGGTGGGGGAGTAAGGACAGGATGATGTTGTGTTTGGTCGATAGCATCGGGGGACGCCAATATTTGTTGTCGCTACCTAGGAAAACTAAGTTGATCGCCGATGGTGGTGATGGTGGGGAGACTCCGATGAGAATGGATTTGGTCGCCGATATTGGTGACGGTAAAGGATGGTATCTGTGTGTGTGTGGGTGGCCTATTAGGGATCGAGAGATAGGTGGTTTATTGGTGGTCGCCGATACTGGTGATAGGTGTGAATATTTGTACGCTTGGGGTGACGTTGGGGGATGGTCACACATGGTATGCATGATATTTTGGATACCGGGGTATGTTTTAGTCCTACGTAGTCCCATAGTGATGACAAGGTAGGCTTAGGTTGGGTGATGGGGTACATATAGAAATATTGAATTTCATATTTGGTTCATATCATAATTGTAACTTAATTTTTACTATACTGAGTTATATGAACTCACCCTCCATTGTTCACTGATGATGTAGGAATGAAGTCGAGATCGGAGTTGCTGGTTTCTGAGCCTAGCGTATAGAGCAACAGAATAAGGATCTTTATGGACAGATTGAATGTGTAAAAGTTTGTAGTAGAGTTGATAGTATGTCTGTTGATAGTGTATACGGTTGTATTTCACGTGATGTTACATGTATGATTGCTGGTCAATTTTAACTCTGAACAATAGATTGTGATTGTGTTTCTATGTGCATGCCTGACTTGAAACGAAATTTCTATTTTTGATCATGGATTTGTTGTAAACTACGTCATTAGAAATAAAAAAAAACGGGGCGTTACAGTTAGTATCAAAGCAAATTAAGAATAGTACTAACTGGTGTCACTATTCTGTAGGTAGACCAAGGGAGGCTACGAAGAAGGGAAGGGGCCGACCCCGTCGTGAATCTTCTCCGGGGGCGTAGAGCTCACCA